GGGAGGGCCGCGTGATGTAAACCAGCGAGGGGCCGGGGAGTTTGGGCCCGAAGCGTGCGCGGTTGGCGGGCGGTGCTGCGCAGGAGGGTTGGGTGTTCGGGGCTCTTCGCCTGGACCCGCTGAGAATATTCCTTTTTGTGGCGGTTCTCAGCAGGGAGCGTTTCCTGGTGCCGTGTCCCAGCCGTGGTGTCAGTGTCCCGCAGTCCTCCCACAGGAGGCAGGAAGGAAGGGACGGAGAAAATTTTCTCGTGTTAATAGGGGTAATTAAAGGTTACATTACTGTTTACAGCAAAAGCCTCCTAACTTATTGGCTAATGAGCACGTTAGAGCGATAGCACCGACTCCTGCTTGGATTGGCTGCGCAGGGGATTCAGCTGGTGTTTAGCTTCGTCCTCCTGGGTCAGAGAAGTGAGTAACAGCCCGGAGCGGTACAGCTGACTGAAAACGTGACTCTAATGAGTATGTTCAGGCAGATCGCTATTGAAACTGGAGAGCTCTGTGTGTGTCTGGATTTCTCTGTTGTTACAGAATCACTCTGGCTGTCTTTAAAAACGGGCTTTTGTTCTAAAAAAGGTATTGCTGAGGGGCTAAAGCAAGGCAGGAGATCAACGACAAATGTACAGACCTAAGGCGTATTTCCATTCTTACCAAAAGTCTCAACTGCAAGACAAGGTGTGGTTGCTTCTGGTCTTGATTTTCTTACTTGTAATGTATTCTAGTAAACACTTGTGACTAGTTAGGAGGAACTGTGTTACTCGCAACGCTTGGACAATTTCTGATTGATTTCTCTATAACCCTTAGCTGCTTCATTTTAGTAATGAAATTCTTACACCACGTCTGTAATACACAATTTTTGATTGCTGCTGCTTGCTTACCAGTCAGGAGTTACTCTTCTGGCCAATTCTACATGTAACGTGCAGTTGCCTTTGACTTAGATTTGCTTGTGGAGTGCTTGCCTCAAGTGATGTATCCAGAAAAAACTTTGTCTTGCCCAGATGTAGGCTGAAGCTTGCTGCTGTGTTTTATAGTGATCAGTTGAAAGTAAAGAATGATGGCAGCTAGTGGGAGTTCCAGTTGTAGACAAACTTTTTTGGCACTAAAATTCTTACACTTGGTTTGTGTTTTGATTACTTGCACAATATTTGTATTGCTTGTTATTCAATAGATATTGTTTGTAGTGTTTGCTTAATTAGAATAATTGAGTTAGGAACTGCAGAATAATGCTATATTTTAGGTGGTGTTCTAAGTTCAGCAGTGATTCAAATCTCTGGCAACTTTAAGATAGCATCTGTAGCTGCCAAGTAATTTGCTGTACAGATGGATGATTGTGGGTTTTATCTGTGTTGAAAGCTGAGGTGGGGTGAGAAGGAAAAGGTATGTAGGAAGAATAGCGATATAATTAGCAGGTTATTATATTTATTTAGAAAAGGTTACTCATGTGCCATAGGCACAGAACACATAAGGTAGATGTTCGTACTCTGAAACAGTTTTTAAAAAACAACAATAAAAAAAACAACAGCAAAATGATTTTGAGAACAATAATTATTAGAAGAAGAATAGGTAATACACCTGTATTTGTATATTTCCAGTTAAAGGACTTAGGATCTGGCCCCTTAGAGTTTTATTCTTTATTTGTTTGTTTCCATTTTGAGCTTACTGTTCATGAAAAGTTAAGTATAGTGAGTCTGGGGAGAGAAAGAAGCAGTGAAGGTCTAGCTGGCTTTTTAATTGAGACAAATATTCCAAAGATGACATGTGGGACGGTAGTATTAAACAATGTTTTTGTTTGTTTTTTTTTTTTTAATAAAACTACAGTGACTGCTCAGCATTCCAGGATGGAGAAAGAAGAGTTTTGAATGAATGGAATTGCCAGGAAATAGAATGTTATGGTCCAGTATTTCAGTGTTGAGACATTTGCAGAGGCGTGTAAACGTCTCCAGCTAAAAACCAAACCACCGCCACCAAACCCCAGGCATATAGATGCGCACCCAGCTGAAGGAAGGGCAGAAAGCTCTTCCATTGTGTTTCAGCTCTGCACAAAGAGAGTTGCGTTCTTTTGGGAAGTTGAGAAGGAGCAGCATTCCAGCTAGCATTTAAACTTGGACTGCGGTATTGTATGGTGTTTGTAGTGTTGGCTGCAGACGAAATAGCAGGAAGTCCAGAAAATTTTAGCATCCCTCACTAACAGTGACGTAACCATACCTTGGCTGCGTGGTGCTGAGCAACCATTATACTGCTGTGTAAGTTGTCTGAAAAACAGCTAAATCTTGTTTTGCCACAATGTGTGTAGATGTGTCCCTAGGAGTCTACTGAAAGTATCTCTTCTTTATTGTGGGCTTCATGGTTTTGCTGTAAATGGAAATTCCAGGCTTCTGTACTGATCTTACGCATTTCTCTTTCAAGGGCCCTGTGGTTATGACCACTTTTGCCTTGCCGTCCTTGTCTGGTGACTCGTGACTCTTCACCAATCACGGCGGAATCCGTCAAGCCCACACTCTGCAGGGTTGTCATCTACCTACAGAAGGAGATGTCGGGGGACACGTGTCTAACCACCACCCTTTGTCCAGCCACAGGGCCCAAGCCCAAAACTTGCAGCTTCAAAGGGGGCAGCCTTGGTAACAAGTATGTGCGACTAAACGTTGGGGGCTCTTTATATTACACTACAGTACAAGTACTGACCAGGCACGACACAATGCTTAAGGCCATGTTCAGTGGCAGAATGGAAGTGCTCACAGACAAGGAAGGTAAGGGAACGTCTTTTGTTGTTGAGAATGTTGTTATGAAGACTGAACAGACAGTATGTGGGTTGTCGTTTATGTGGTGTCATGTAGTGGCATCATTCGAAATGCGTATGTGGGGAGGGACATTCAGTTTTCATCTTTAAAACTCAGAACAGCCTTGCTTGCTGTGTTGAAAATTCTGTTTTTCCTCCTCCCAGTAGCACGGTCCACTTGTGGCTTACGATGCTGTGACACTATTTAGCTGTCAGTCAAGGAGTATGTCACCTCCTGCTGGAAACTAAATATTTGCCTTATAAAAATCCATAATACATTATAGAGAGTAGAACAAATAAGAAGACCAATATCAGCAATGGCTATGAATGCTTTCATTTTCCTGTCTTAAGTAGTCCAGGACAAAGTGACACCTTAGGAATGAGGGCTGTGGCGCTGTGGAGAAGAGGCTGAGAGAGGTTGGCAAGTATTTAACCTCTTGGATGTTTCTGGACACTCCTGTGTGAAAGCTCCTCCACGTGCCCAGATTATATCAGTTTAAACTTGATGCACAACAGTGTGTTTACTTAAACTGAAATAACTCCTTGTGGATTTTGCATATCATTTAAACCAAGTTCCCCCTGAGTAGGCTGGATCTTGTTGAGCGTTACATACAACTAAATTGTCCAGCAGTTTTGTAGAGGAGCCTGAGCCTGAATGGAGGACAAGGTTCATGTTCTGGCAGCTACAGCTGGAGAATCTAGAAGTGATTTAGCCTACCTTCCTCTGTTGTTTTCTGTACCTAGGTCCCAAATTAACACTCTTTTGCCTGCCTTCCACATTATGGAAGAGGGTTTGGCATTGTTTTAATCCCTCTGTCCGTGTGTGTCCTACATTGCTATTGTTTGCCATCAAGTCAGACATCCTGTTTCCTAGTGAATGTGACGTCAAGGATGTTTTAAAATTGCAAGAACTGTCTGTCTGCTACTGTTTCCTGTGCTGCATCCCCTCTTGGCTCCCCCCTGGTCTGTCTCTGTCCTGTTCTTTGCTCCCATTTGGAGACTAGAACAGCCTTTTTCCCATACTGGGTTTTCTGGTCTCATCTACCTTTTAGCGTCTTCATAACACTTCTCTTTCTTTAACTCTGAACAACAGCAGAAGATGTGGTTGCAAAACTGCCAAATCCTTCTCGTTAGGCCACAGAACTTAGCCCCTTGTTGCAAACATTTGTGAATTCTCTCTTCTAGTCTTTCCTTGGCTTTCTTAGTGATAAGTTTCTAATTGCACAGCATTACACTGTAGCAGCAGTTAATACATTTATTCCCGTACAAGTACAGCACATCCCCATTTTGCTGGGAATATGACAAGCCTCTAAATAAAAGAAGGAACCTAGCTAACTATAAGCTGGGGGTTTTTGTTTGGGGTTGTCTGGGTTTTTTTTGTTTTTTAGTAGGTTTGAATGGCTTGGACAGTCAGTTAAATGTCAACTGGGGACTTCCTGTGGTAGTTGAAAAGGTCCTTCAGGTACTTCAGAAAAGATGAAGCACAGATGATAATTTTGATCAGGTAGCTCACTGACTGATCAATTGATACAGCGCAGTCAGGTTCCTGCAGCAATTTTAGTGTCTTGTGATAGGAAGCTGAGTATTTTTAGCTTGAGGCTTTTCTTTCTGGCTGCAAAGTAGTGAGAACATAGAGGAGGTACCAAAGGAGTGGTTCCACTGTCAGTTTCTGTTCTGTAACCAAATTCAGTTTGCTCAAAGTCATTAAAGACTTCCACTGAATAAAATGGTAAGTGTATCATGTGCAGTTTCAGGAAACATTAGGTTTATTTAACCTCTCTGAAGAGCTTTTTCTTGCCCCCTAGTGTTGAGGTGATTGAAATGATGTGATGGTTATTTTTCAGGCTGGATCCTTATAGACCGTTGTGGGAAGCACTTCGGAACAATTTTAAACTATCTCCGAGATGACACGATTGCACTTCCAAAACACAGACAGGAGATTAAAGAATTGATGGCAGAAGCCAAATATTATCTCATTCAGGGCTTAGTGGACATGTGCCAGGCAGCCCTGCAGGTAAGAAACAGAAGTAGACTGTAACGTTTTTCATGGGTGTTTTGGTTATAAAATTTACTTAAGACAACTTGAGAGAGTATTTCATGGCCTTAGAGACAGCCAGGAAAGAAAATGAGACAGCAGTCAGGTAAGTTGTAAGATCTTATCCAGTATGTTCATCAAAGCCATAGTTATTCTTGCTCTGTATGCGCACCTGAGATTCTGCAGTGCTTTGAATAAGGGACAAAATTTAGTTTATGATCTCCCTGGAAATGTTTTCAGACCCACGTGCTATCATGACACAGCCTTCCATGCCACAGATGCCTGTGTTCTGAAGGTATTTAGTGCAATTAGTGAGGCGATTGGATTATCAAGGGAGCTATTTCTTTGTAAGAAGACAAAGTGTCGTGGTTTGGGCTGAAAAATACGGCGTTTATTTCAGACAGTCCAGTTAGAAGAGGCTTAGCTGAAAAGTAAAATTACTGAAAAGAAAATTGGTTCTGTTTTACCTTAGACCAGGACACAAAGATTGTCTCCTGGTTAGATTATATGAATCTAGAATGTGCAAGATGTAGATCTGGGTTCCTGTCATTTTGGAGATGTCATTCCCCTTTGTGCTTCCACTCAGTTGTCCTGCTGCCCCCTCAGAATGGGGATAGTAGCACTCTTCTACTTCACAGGAATGCCAGGAGGATGAATAAAGTTGAAACTGTATTCACAATTTTTCATTTAAGTAGAGGGAATGGTTCTTTTTTGGCTTCGTTTTTTAAATTTTATTTAGGAAATAGATAATGAATGAATTCCTCTTGTGTGAAATGAAATAAAGGCCAGAAATTTAAAGGAAACTGATTGAATAAACATGATCATTTTGAGCATATGTTCTAAAAGACCTTATGGCATTTGTCTAAATTTCCCCCAAGTTATGTCACTTCTAATTAGATAATATTTGTAAGCAGAAATGGTTTCAATCTTTGAAAATGTAGTAGATTTTTTCCAAGTTTGAATCTTAATGGTGAAAAAGACCTATATGGTAAGTACTGGTTACTTTAAGGACTTTTCTTTGTATTAATTTACGATTACTATGTGCAAATATGTAAGCCCATAGTAGCTTTATTCACTTTACTAGTCCCTATGAGTTTAGCTGACTGAAATCAGCTTGTTCTGCCAACTTATTAATAAAGTTAGCCCAGATGCAATACATACATAACTTATTTTTAGTCTTAAGGTCGTGAAATGAATGTTTCTTGCAGGACAAAACTTCGTAATTAATAAATGCCTCACAGACTAGGTTCAATATACTTCTTCTGTCCACTTAAAGAAATGCAAAGCCGCACTGACAATTTTCTTTCTGGTTTGGAATTTAAAACCTTTCTTCTAAAAACAAAATGTTCTGAGGCTTTCCTATTAGCTATTGAGCTTTCCTTAATATGCTACATGAGGAATCTGGAGTCACAGACTGTACTACATGCTCTTGATTGTTGCTTTTGTATCACAAGGGGCTGAAGTCCATTTTGGTGACATGCTGTTCTTGCCAAATGTTCACTTCTTAGTGGCTGATACTCTTATATACTGCAGTGTTTTGAGATGATTAAAACTAGTGCAAATTCTTACTATCCTTTCCTTCAAAAAGGATGGCATAATAAACCCACTTAAACCAAATATGACTTGAGCTCAGAGTCCTTGCTATAGCTAAGAAGGACATCCACCTGCATCCCAATATTTCAATTACTGCTGCCTTCTGGGGATAAGAAATCTCTCTGCTGTATTTGTGGGTTGCAGATCAAGGTAACGCTGTGTGGTTACTATAGCAATACAGAGTTTTTCCTGCGCATCACAAGATCTGGGAACATGGCTGGAGGGGTTGGAGAAGACAGCAACAGTAGATGTTAGTTTTAGCTTTTATCTCTCTTGAGTTTATTTCCTCCCTCTCTTGTGTCTTTAACACAGGACAAGAAAGACTTGTATGAACCTGTCTGTAGCATCCCTATCATCACATCTCCAAAAGAAGAAGAGAGACTGATAGAATCATCAATGAAAGTAACTATCCAGTGAGAAACTGAATTTTTGATAAACATATTCAAACACAGAACTTACCTTTTCTGCTTTTTTTCTTTCTCTCCCAATAGCCCGTTGTTAAGCTGCTTTATAACAGAAGCAACAACAAATACTCCTACACCAGGTATGTTAGTTTTCTCCCCACTGTAATGGGAAAGTTTTCCTTTGACTATGAAAATGGAGGAAGACGTGGTACAACCTAACTTGTTTTTTTGTTTGTTTGGAGTTTTTTTGCTTGCAAAAGTGCTCTTCTATGGATTTGTGTGCAGTTATTTTTGATTGATATGAATATAAATGTGAGGAAAACACAACACTGTATCTGTGAAGTGTAGTGTACACTTCAGTTGTGTGAGAAAGATGAACAGAAACAAAGGACAAGAGATAAGAATGATGAGGCTATTAATATTGGCTGAAACTAGATGTAACTTAGGTAATGCAATGCAAACCAGTAACCAGAGTGTTACCTCGTCAATGCAAAGCTAGCGCAGCCATGATCTGTACCTCATCTAAACTGACCCACTCTTTGCTTTGGGGTGTGCATACACCTCTGCCAGCACTCTTTTATTCTGACCTACAGATGATGTTCCAGTATCTCTAAATTATTTGGTTACAAAGGAAAGTAGCTCTTCTGCTCAGGAACAACCCAGATAGGCCAGGGCAAGAATTTACTGGCCTTCCTCGTGTATAAAG